TCGCGCCCCCCCCGCCGCTACAAGTTCAACCTGTACGGGGTGTGGGGTCGGAAACGCCTGGGCCCCGTCTCCACCGATGCCGTGACAGGTGAGTGGTGCTGTGGTCTCCATCCATGTTTCCTGTAGACCCAAGTTGTGAAATGAGACATGATTTTGGTAAGGGCCCTTGGACTTTGTGTGAAATGAGAATGTCTCTTTGGGGATGAGACGAAGAGGAAGAAGACATGGGAGCATGTATGTTTAGGAGCCTGGCTGGATGAATGGACGGATGGCTGTGAGGATGGGTAGTTGGATGAAGGAATAGATGTTGGATGGATGTGTTGATGGAGGTGTGGGTGGAGTAACAGGCAGAGGATCAGATGGAGAATGTCTGGATGAATGGATAGAGGAGACTGAAGTAGATGACTGAGCAAATATATGGTTGGGACAAGTTGCTAGTTGGGTGATGAGGTGGATGGATCGATGGAGGGATGGGTGAGACGAAGGACAGTGGTGCATGGGGAGTTGGAAGGATGATGGATTGAAGAGTGATGAGGATGGGTGGAAGAATGAGTGGGAGCATGCTTGAGTGTGGTGCCAAATGCAGTGATGATGACTTGAAGATATGGATGGGTAAGACTGTGACTGGATAGAAAAAAGGATGGACAAATGGATAGATGGATGGATAGATGGATGGATAGATGGATGGATGGATGGATGGATGGATGGTTGATTCTTCCCTGCATTGTGCCCTCTCTGTCTGTTACAGCTGCGGCCGAGCCAGAGGAAGAAGCACCATCGCAGCCCATCCTGGGCGAGCTGACGGCCTCCCACGTCAGCCCCGACTCCGTCCAGCTGGAGTGGAGCATCCCCGAGGGCACCTTTGACTCCTTCACGGTGCAGTACAGGGATGCCCAAGGGCAGCCCCAGGTGCTGCCCGTGGACGGTGGTTCACGTACGGTGAGGGTGCCTGGGCTGTCACCATCCCGCCGCTACAAGTTCAACCTGTATGGGGTGTGGGGTCGGAAACGCCTGGGCGGTGGGAAACGCCTGGGCCCCGTCTCCACCGATGCCGTGACAGGTGAGTGGGGCTGTGGTCTCCATCCATGTTTCCTGTAGACTCAAGTTGTGGAATGGGACACGATTTTGGTAAGGGCCCTTGGACTTTGTGTGAAATGAGAACATCTGTTTGGGGATGGGACAAGGAGGAAGAAGAGATGGGATCATGGATGTTTACAGTACCACGGGAGAAAGCCCTGGCAGGAAGAAGGGCCCAAGAAAGGTGGTTCGTATTCAAGGATCACCTCCTCCAAGCTCAGGACCAATGCATCCCAACAAAGAGAAAGTGAGGCAAAAACTCCCAGAGGCCCACATGGATGAAAAGGCAGCCCCCAGAGAGTGGAAGGAAGGGCAGGTAGGCTGGGAGGAATAGAGAGAAACTCTCCCAGCAGCCAGGGACCAGGTTAGGAAAGCCAAAGCCCTGGTAGAATGAAATCTGGCCAGGGACATCAAGGATAAGAAGAAAACTTTCTATAGGTACGTCAGTGATAAAAGGCAGATGAGGGAAAATGTGGGCCCCCTCCAGAATGAAACAGGAGACCTGGTTCCCTGGGATAAGGAGAAGGCTGAGGTTCTCAATGACATTTTTGCCTCAGTCTTCACCAGCAAGGGCTCGAGCCACACTGCCCAGGTCACAGAAGGCAAAGGCGGGGG